CCCAAAGAGGATACAAGCAGTGTTTCTGAATTTTTTCTTTTTTTTAAATCACTAATAAGTAACAGCTTGTGAAGCTAGCCTAGCTAGAGTCAGGCTTTCTCAGTGGTAGGACACACAATGCCTGTTACAAACGTTTTAAGTTGAAGTATAAATAGGACTCCTGTCTTTTGTGGTGGTGATCTCCTTGTTAAAGGTTTCAGGCTTTTGAACTATTCTGGTAGCTGATGTTGGAGATGAAATTTTAAATGTTTTATTTTTTCCTACAAATGTACCCACTAGACCATGCTTCGATTGCCTGCAGCTTTCAAACCATTCAAGCTTGGAGGTATGGGAACAACTTCCCTGTAGGAATGGGGTGTGTGAAAAATTCGAGTGCTTTGAAATTCAGTTTATAGGATCATATGCTTGCTATAAGAATGGATTAGATAAAGGGACAAATGTGCAAATTTTCCATCCAGGTTCTTAATCCCTTAGAAGTATAGTTTACTGTAATTTTGCTCTATATTGAAAGAATAAGTCCAATAAATTATTCATATTGTGGTTGTGGTTGATGGGGTGCAAAATCATGGTTGTGTGGGTGCGGTGCACCATCACCTTAACTTCTGCTGAGGCTGTTTGATAACAGCCTGCTAGAAACTATATTTCACTAAGTGCTTAAAGATGTCAAAGAATCAGCACTACAGCACTCGCCCTTGTATAGATGTTCAGCGCGGTCTCCAAGTCATCCCTATCATCCACCTGCTTCAAAGCTGCATTGCTTGAGTACATACTTGCCCGTGCCCATACTGTGTATTTTCTTTTCTCGTGGCCTTCTTAATGTTTGGTTATAACACCAAGTGAAAAATTTAATTACAATGAAATGGCATTTTTGCAATGAAATACTGCTTTCTCCAAATTTGAAGATGTTTTTGCGTAATTGAAACTCCCAAATGAAAAGGGATTATATTTAAATTTTTGTATTGCTTTCATTGTTGAGTAGCAAATGAAAAGCAATTGCATGAACAAGTCTGTAAAAAAGAGAAGCCAAGAAAAATTTGAACAAAACAAGCATTTTCACAAGTAAAATAAATGATTTAAAATGATTATTTCAATTATTATTTAGAAACTTTAGTGAAAGTTATTTTACATTTTTCTATCGTATTTGCAAAATCTTCTGACCATTCTTCTATAAATTTTGTAACTTTTGATGCAGGTGTACTTCACACGGTCACAAATGAAGTTTAAATAATTTAGCGCTACATTTCTTTTCAAAGAATAAGACACAAGCTCCTGATCACACCCATATTCCAGTCTCTGTTCCTCATGTGATTAGGGTGAATATTTGCAAATGATGGATAAACCTAAGTGTTTTTCCATATTTGATGATCACTCCAACTTAGATGATCCTCTGAAATTCCCATTCTTTATTCAAACCATCTGGATCTATAAAACTGAATTGTACTCTTACCTTGCCTGCAGGACTGTAAGACTCTTCTGATCATTAGAGTGAATTTAACATCAAATCCCACTCTGACTGTGCAAATTTAATGTGTTTCAGAGAAAAAAAAAAAAAAAAGAAATTCTGTAGTGATCAGTTGTACAATACAATGTCTTTATTTCCAGTTTTGTTGATTAATAATTGGCCTATAGGTAATTTCTACTATTAAGGTCTGTCCTCAGAATAAACAAAAAACCAAAATATCTATTTTAGGTTATACCTGAGATAAACTTTATGTGTTGGCAATTTTGAAAATCAAGCACTTAAAAATATCCAAACTCTAATCTGAGTTCATTAGAAACTGTCGTTTTCTGTAGTAGTTTTCTGCTCATGATATACTGATTTTTTGGCTACTGTATGAAGAATTAAAGCATATTCTAGATTACTAGAAAGTACTAGAAAGTGGAAGGACCGTACTTCTGAATTAAAAATACCAAAACATAAATGTTGTGAAATTCAGAAGTGATGACAACCTATGACAGCTTAGGAGACACGCCTGATAAAAATTTGCAGCTATAACTGTAGTTGTCAGAAATTTCTTTGTGATAAATACCCATGAGCTACAAGCACCAGAGACATATTTTGGTGTTTCTTTAAGGTCTCCATAGCTTTAACCCGAGAAACCTGGCGCGGCTGGTAGACTCAGTCTGGTCTGCAGTTTCTCTGCTCTTGTGCTGGAGAGCAGCCAGTGCATTAGCGCTGGACCCGTTCCTGCCTGTGCCTGGAATTACTCCCCAGGAGACTGCACAGCCCCCACCAGGCAACGTTGCGGAGAGGCAGAGTACTTGAGTAAACTCAGGCCATCTGTTGGTTGCATAAATTAGTTTTCCTCATTTGCCCATCTAGTCATAAGATATCCAGTTTGTTTTTTTTTTTTCCC